GTTTCATATCAGCTGTCTTCTGTTATGAAAATCATGTGTGCCTTCATAGTTTTTCCAATTGACTTTCCCCTAAGAAGGACTAACAGTGTAGACTGAGCACTCTCTGGACATACACATTCCAGGTATTTGGAGAACAGCCTCAGGAAAGGCTTTCTCTGGAATCAGATTATCTATCTCCCTTGGCCACTTTCAAGGACTACAGGAAACATCACCCAGGTGGGCGCCCATCGTTAGTCCCAGGTGGACTAACAATGGTAACAGCCCACGTGCAAGTCTCCTGACTTACGGTAAATTCCACAAGGGGACACCGCCTAGGAGAGGTGGACGTTAATAGCTTTACACAATTTAGCTCTGACCCTCCCTTTATATACTGGGACTTCCAGGGCACAAGAGGAGAAGAGAAAAGAGAATGGAAGAACTAGATGGGTAAGAACTTGAGAGGAAAAAACTGAGATGGGGAAGAAGTAGATTGAAGGGCTACAGGAGAGTACTAGAGGAACGAGATGGAAGATGAGAAAGAGCCAGATGGGGAAGAACAAGATGAAGTAGAACGAGAAGAGGAGAGAGGAGACGGGAGGGGAGATGATATGGGAAGGAACAAAGTGGATGAGAACCTAGAAGGGACAGAACTAGACAAAGGAATTAAGATAGAACCTAGAGGGGATCACAGACAAGTGTAGAGAGAAATCAGGCTAAAGATGACCTAAATGAGAGCAGAATATAAGCTTGTAACTGTCACAGAATAATAAAGTATATGGACTAAGGAGTTTTGTGTACATAGATTCATTTCTTTTCATCAAAGATTAATTGTCAGCTGGTTGTAGATTCTTCCCGGACCCTGGGAGGGGACTATCGAGGGGCTGGACCCCCATAGTCCCCGATAGAAACTCTTTTCTTTCTGTGTGCATGGTGCATGCCTGCTCATGTATGTGTGGGAGTGTGGGTGTCTGACACACACATGATGGCCAGAGGGTTGAACCAGAGCTCTGGGAAAGTAGTTTCTCCTGACCCTTCCGTGTGCTGAGCGGCTGACCAGAACTTCAAGGCTCTGAAGAATCTGAAATGTTGCGGGTCCAGAACCAAATTACCTTGGGTCATCTTCAGCCTTCTCCATAGGCATTGTTACCTTCCCTCCTCTGTCCTTGACCTAACAGCTTTCTGACAATGAGGTAAGGCTTTTGGAATGTACAGAACACTGCTTTTCCTTTGGAATGCATTAACTTAGCAGACCAGCAGCTTCCATCATCCCAGAAGCCAAGACTGTCATCCGAAGCCTGTAACAGGCCTCAGATTCACTGTAACCCATCTCTGACGTCTCCAGCAATGTATCTGAAAAGTGTCTTTCTTTTCTCTGTTACTGTGAAAACTTCATCAAATCATTTCCACACTGGAACATGGACATTTGGGGTGACCTAAACTTGTTCCCAGACCATGGTCACTCGTATTTGGCTCCAGAATAAACTATGTCCGTCCTTTTGAGGTGAGAGGTGTGTTTTTGTGTCAGCAGAGGACAATCTCGGGTGTCACCTTCTACCTTGAGACGGGGTGTCTTCCTGGTGCGTCCCTTTGTACACCAAGGCAGCTGTCTCTTCCTCTCATATCTCCTAACACTGGGACTGCAGACTGCCACTACCGGGCCAGCTTTATGTGGGTCCTGCAGATTCGCACGCAGGTCCTCAGGTGCAAGTGCTTTATCCACGGACCTATCTCCTCACCCAGGGAAATCCTGATTTGGTTTCCAGGTCTCTGGCCACAAAGGACAGCTGAGGCCATCCTTCGCCCGTCCAGCAGTAGCAGGGGCAGTGTCTGATACGAAAGAAAATCCAAATACATAGTTATTAGATGAGGGGTTGAAGGTAGAGCGCGGTGGTGGAGTCCTTGGCTGGTTTCAATTCTCATCACTGAAAAGAGTGGCTGGCTGGATGAAAGGCGACTCGCAGAAGAAAGCGGGCTGCTCCCCAAAAGGGCTTGAGCATGCGCAGCGTCCCATATGGCCGTGGATGTTTGATGGGGTCACGCGTCCTCCAGGCACGCGCGTGGTCAGCGGACCCAGAGGGTCTGGGTCCGGAAACCAAGTTTCCAGCCGGGTAGCTGGAGCCCCATCCTTCAGGCCACGTGGCCCCAAGTCCGCAGCCGATTGGATGCGGGCAGCACCGCCCCTGGCCCTGAGCTAGCGTTGGTTGTGAGCGGTCCTCCGCAAGGTTGGCCTCATGGAAGCCGCGGTGCTGGCGGTGGTTCTGGGGTTCCTACTCCTGGCCGGGGGCTCGGTGGGCGACGAGGCTCGGGAGGCGGAGGCCGTACGGGAGCTGGTGGCCCGGCTGCTGGGACCCGGGCCGGCGGCCGATTTCTCGGTGTCGGTAGAGCGCGCGCTGGCAGCCGAGTCAGGTCTGGACACCTACAGCCTGAGCGGCGGCGGCGGGAAACCGGTGCGTGTGCGCGGCTCCACGGGGGTGGCGGCCGCCGCGGGACTGCACCGCTACCTGCGCGACTTCTGCGGCTGCCAGGTGGCCTGGTCCGGCTCTCAGCTGCACCTGCCGCGGCCGCTGCCCGCCCTGGCCGAAGAGCTGACCGAGGCCACGCCCAACAGGTATAGGTCCTAAGTGGCTTGGGCAGCCGCCTGTAGCCCAGGGGCACCCACTGTGGGTGAGGCTCACCACGCTGGGGTGGGGACAGCCGCAGCTACCGACACCTGGAAGCCCGAGGAGGAAGTGCTGGCTCTGGGGTCCCACCGCTGTGCCTTCAGATCTTAGCTCCCCCACTAACGAGATGTGTGTTCTTAAGCAAAGTCACTTTAGCTTCTCAGAGCCCCGGCTGCAAATCATGACGCCCACCGCGCTGCTGATTGAGACTCTGAGCGTGATGGTAGAATTTCGAAGGCGTTCTCGTGATCCATGCATTCCATGCTCCTCCTTTGGCCTCTCTGAAGATGCCGTGGAGTGACCCATCCCGAAGCCCCGGGCCTTTATTCTAGCATTTGTCACACTGTATGGGCATGATGTGTGTCCAGTTCCCCGCCCCCCCCCATCAAACTGCAGGACTGGGAACCCTCTTCAGAACAGAGACCAATTTTGCACCGACACCCTAGGACCCCCCCCCACACACACGACGCACAGTAGGGGCTCTGGACATGTTGGATGAAAATGAAGTTATGTATTCACAATAGCTATTAGATTATGGAGCCCTGAGGGACGTTCCAGCACTATGTATTGGCTTTACCTGGGGTGAAAATGGAATGACCAGTAGAGGGACCACTTTTAAACCTTTGTCATCTGTCGTGTGTGTGTGTGTGTGTGTGTGTGTGTGTGTGTGTGTGTGTGCGCGCGCGCGCGCGCTCCGGGGTAGTATTCCAGAGCCAGGCCGCCTCTGAGGTTTTCCAGGGTGATGGGTGAGTGAGGCATCCCATATGTCCCCAATACTGTCCCCCCACCTGCAGGTATCGCTATTACCAGAATGTGTGCACGCACAGCTACTCCTTCGTGTGGTGGGACTGGGCCCGTTGGGAGCAAGAGATTGACTGGATGGCGCTGAATGGCATCAACCTGGCACTGGCTTGGAATGGCCAGGAGGCCATCTGGCAGCGGGTTTGTGCCAACCTGGCCCCTCACGCTCTCCTCCACAACTCACACACTCACTGGCCCTGGGGGACTGATGCTTCTCTGGGTGGGACAATCCATCTGGGTGCTTCCTGTAGATGAGAATCCAGCAACCTACTGTAACCACTGGAAATGGCGGTACATGCCTGTACTCCATAATCCCAGTACTCAGGTAGAGGTAGGAGGATTAGAAGTTTGAGGTTAGGGTGGTGGTGGTGGTGGTGCACACCCTTAGTCCTAGTATTGGGGAGACAGAGGCAGATGGATCTCTGTGAATTCGAGACCAGCCTGGTCTACAGAGTGAGTACCAGGACAGCTAGGGCTACACACACACACACACACACACACACACACACACACACACACAAAAAAAAAAAAAGGAAGAAAGAAGTCAAGGTCATCTTCTGCTACATAGTGATCATTAGTCTTAATCAAGTCCCTTCCCTTTGGCCAACCTTGCTCCAAGACCTTAGTTTTCCTTCTGTTGCTATAATAAAACCCCATGATCTAAAGCAACTTGGAAGGAAATAGTCCATTCGGCTCACACATCCCAGTCACAGACCATCGTGGAGGGAAACCAAGGCAGAGCTCAGGCAGGGCGGGAACCATGGAGGCAGAGGCTGCAGAGGAACACTGCTTATATTGACGTGCTCCTGATTTCCTCAGTTTGCCTTCTTGCACACCCAGAACCTCCTGCCTGGGAATGGCGCTGCCCACAGTGGGCTGGGCCCTTCCATATCAATCATCAGTCAAGAAAATGCCCCACAGGATTGCCTACAGGCCAATCTGATGGGGGGTATTTTCTCAGTTGAAGTTTCCTTTTCCCAGATGACCCCTAGCTTAAGTAAAGTTGATAACAACAACAACAACTAATAATAATAATAATAGGGGGCTGGAGAGATGGCTCAGAGGTTAAGAGCACTGACTGCTCTTCCAGAGGTCCTGAGTTCAATTCCCAGCAACCACATGGTGGCTCACAACCATCTGTAATGAGATCTGGTGCCCTCTTCTGGCCTGCAGTCATATATGCTGTATACATAATAAATAAATCTTTTAAAAAATTAAATAATAATAAAAGAAACAAACAAAATAACCCACACAGAGACTCTCCCTGGATCACAAAGAAAGCCCCTTTGGGTCCCCTATCTTCACCCATCCCACAAAGGTGACACTGAGTGCCTTCTCCTACTCAACAGGTCTGTGTCCTCCTGGCCTGGGAGCTCCCTGTAGGCTGGGTTCCAATTCTAGCTTAGTAGCGACAGTACCCAGCCCAGAGAAGTGATGAATGAGTGCTTGTGACGTGGAGTGATGGATGGAGAGTCCTGTGTTTATAGGTGTGGGGCTCTGCTCTTCTGCAGGTGTACCTGGCCTTGGGCCTGACCCAGCCGGAGATTGATGAGTACTTCACCGGTCCTGCCTTCCTGGCCTGGGAACGCATGGGTAACCTGCACACCTGGGGTGGCCCCCTCTCCCGCCCCTGGCACCTCAAACAACTCTACCTGCAGGTAAAGCGTGGGGAGGGGAAAGGCAGAATGGGCGCTGGGTGGTCTCAGATCCAGGGACGGTGGTGCTTAGCTAGCCTCGGGCTCTTAACTGGTCCATAGGAACCCTCCCTCCCTCCCTGAGTAAGCAAGCCCCCCCCACTCCAAGAGGACCTGTCACATTGACCTCTGCCCCTCCCAGCATCGGATCCTGGACCGGATGCGCTCCTTCGGCATGATCCCAGTGCTGCCTGCCTTCGCAGGACATGTCCCCAAGGCCATCACCAGGTGAGGCCCTCCCTACTCAACTCACAGGGGAAAGGTTTGCCCTGAAAAGCATGATGTCAACACTGGAGCTTGGGAGGCTGGTGTCACTTGACTCCTGGTTCTGTGGTCAGCCACTGCCTGGACAGATTATTTGACGTCTCCGTGAATCAGTTTCCTTGCTTGTGAAATGGAATCATCGCTGGGTGTGATGGGGACACTCTTCCAATCTCTGTATTCAGGAGATCGAGACTGGGACACCACCAGTTCCAGGCCAGCCTGAACTACATAGAGAAACACAGGCTTTATGTGTGTAAATTTGTACACCCGGGGGCGGGCCCCGCTGCAGAGGTGGCTCAGATAAGAGCACCTGCTGCCCTTGCAGAGGACCATGGTTTGGTTCTCAGCGCCCACAGGGTAGTTCACAGCCATCTGTAACTCCTGTTCCTCCTGTTCCCGGGGAGCTGATGACCTTTCAGGAGCTGCATGCACATAGTACAGGTACATAAATGCAGACAAACACTCACACACGTAAAATAAAAATAAATGAATCTCAAAAGTACTCCCTAATTGTTAGCATCACACTTAGAAAACTCACCAGATTTAAAAAGGTTTTCATTGATTTTATGTGTATGGGTGTTTTGCCTGTATGGATGTCTGTGTACCACATGCGTGCCTGGTGATGGTGGAGAAGGAAAAAGGGCATGGGGTTCTCTGAGGCTGGAGTGACGGATGGCTATGAACTACCCTGTGGGTGCTGGGACTCAAACCTGGGTCCTCTGCAAGAGCAGCCAGTGCTCCTAACTGCTAAGCTATCTCTTCAGTCGCTAACTTAAATTTTGTGTGTGTGTGTGTGTGTGTGTGTGTGTGTGTAATTTTATTACTTAATAAATAGTTCCCTCCCTGCTGTCCTGCCAGCCTGCATGCATATTGCCAGGCACAGAATGTCAGTGAGTAAGTAGCTGCTCTTTCCAGTGGCCTAGGGAGGGTGTTGGTCCTCTGTCTTCTCTGCTGTGGCTGGACGGACCTTCAAGGTCCAGCTGAGGCACCTTCTTTGTCAAGCCTTGCCAGCACCTCCAGGGACCCTCAGCATGCCCGGGAGCACCTGGCACACACTACTGTCACAGTGTGACACTCCTGGCTGCCTGCTCCCCCGCCATCTTGCTCACCAAGTGGTGGGAACCTTATTCTTTTCATTCAGTGAACATTTTCCCAGGTGCCTACACATGTCAGACCCAGTCCTGTGCTGGGTCCTGGGGATGTAGTGACAAAGGTGTCCATGGCTCTGTCCCTAAGGAGAGATCATTGGCAGAGGAAGATAGCAGAGCTTTTGAGACAGATGGCTCTTAGGGACAGTGAGGAAGAAGCAGGTAGCCTTAGAGGTGGAGGAAATGATACCAGGCAAGGGGCAAAGCACGTGTAAAGGCATGGAGGTGTGAGAAACCCAGACACAGTCCGGAAAGCCACAGATGTGAGGCCGATGAGGGGTATCAGGCCAAGTCAAACACTGCGTCAGCCTCCACCAACCCTGATCCTTTTTTTCCTCCATAGGGTGTTCCCACAAGTCAATGTCACCCAGTTGGGCAGCTGGGGACATTTCAATTGCTCCTTCTCCTGCTCCTTCCTTCTGGCTCCAGGAGACCCCATATTCCCCCTCATCGGGAGCCTCTTCCTACGGGAGCTGACCAAAGAGTTTGGCACAGATCATATCTATGGGGCTGACACTTTCAACGAGATGCAACCTCCCTCCTCGGAGCCCTCCTACCTCACCGCAGCCACTGCGGCTGTCTATGAGGCCATGATTGCGGGTATGGTGGCTAGGAAACCCCTTGGGGTATCAGGGCGAGGGGATGGGTGGGAGGAGGACCCGTGCCCTGGGGACACCACACGTTCCAGCTCAGCCAGCCTTAGTGCACATATGCCGTCTCTCACTTTCCCACTCCGGGGGCTGAGGTCTGGCTGGCAGTGGCCAGTGACATATGACCTGGGGTTCGTTCCTTCCCCTCTAGTGTCATGGAGTGGGATGCCCCAGCCTTGTAAAAAAAAGGGGGGGCCATTGAGCACAACCTATTAAAAAGATTTTAGGGGGCTGGAGAGATGGCTCAGAGGTTAAGAACACTGACTGGTCTTCCAGAGGTCCTGAGTTCAATTCTCAGCAACCACATGGTGGCTCACAACCATCTGTAATGAGATCTGGCGCCCTCTTCTGGCATGCAGGCATATGTGCATGCAGAACACTGTAAACACTGGATACATTTTAAAAAAAAGATTTTAAGCCAGGCATGATGGCACATGCCTGTAACTCCAGCGCTTGAGAGGTGGAAGCAGAAGGATCAGGAGTTCAAGGCCAGCCTGGGATACTTGAGACCTCTTGTATAATAATAGAGGGACCAGCCTTAATATTATACATCCCAGGGGCTCAGGAGAGAGAACTACTAACGGCGAGAACTATTATCAGAAAACAGAATCTCAGCACACCGAGTTCTATAGTCCACTTGCTTTAATTCCTCTGGCATAACATCCTTTATACACAGCTTCAGTTCTGTTCTCATGTCTAGCTCCTTTCTTGCCTGATTTCTCTATATTTATCTACTGTCCCCTCTAGGCTCTATCTTAATTCCTTCATCTAGTTCTGCCCCTTCTAGGTTCTCATCTATCTAGTTCTTTCCCCTATCAGCTCCTCTCACATCTCCTCTCTCATCTGGCTCTTCCTCATCTTGTTCTTCCCCATCTGGCTCTTCCTCATCTTCCATCTCGTTCCTCTAGTCCTCTCTTTTAGCCCTCCATTCTAGTTCTTCCCCATCTCATTTTGTTCCTCTCAAGTTCTTACCCATCTAGTTCTTCCATTCTCTTTTCTCTTCCCCTCTGCCTCCTGGAAGTCCCGGTATATAAAGGGAGGGTCCGAGCAAAATTGTGTAAAGCTATTACTTAACGTCCACCTCTCCTAGGCGGTGTCTCCTTGTGGAATTTACCGTAAGTCAGGAGACTTGCCTGTGGGCTGTTATCATGCCCCACCTGGGTGGTGTTTCCTGTAGTCCTTGAAAGTGGCCAAGGGAGATATCTGATTCCAGAGAAAGCCTTTCCCTGAGGCTGTTCTCCAAATAACCTGGAATGTGTATGGCCAGAGAGTGCTCAGTCTACACTGTTAGTCCTTCTTAGGGAAAAGTCAATTGGGAAAGCTATGAAGGCACACATGATTTTCATAACAGAAGACAGCTGATAATAACAAGCCAAGTAACACCAAAAACTCCTTGGGATTTGGCTTCCTCTGGAGGAATTCCCTGATCCCTCCAGGTAGTGACTTTGCCATAACCAGCTGAGTTCTTATGATAATCCTGCGGCCCGCAGCAGAGACCCTGAGCTCTCAAGTAGGGGGGTGGGTAGTAGGAGCAGCAAGGTGGCTTGGTGAGTTAAGGCATTCAAACCTAATGACCCGAGTTTGATCCGTGAAACCCACACAAAGATGGAATGAGAGGACCAACTCCACAAAGTTGTCCTGTGATTCCCACATGTGTGTTCACACATACACGTCATACACACAAACAACAACAATAATAAAGTTTTTATTTGGAGCCGAGCCGGGGGCATGGTGGCACATGCCTTTAATTTTAGTGTTCAGGAAGCAAAGGCAGGTGGATCTCTGTGAGTTGAGGTCTACACAGTGAGTTCCAGGACAGCCAGGGTGATGTAGAAAGATCCTGTCTCAAAACAAAACCTCAGCAACAAAAATTTATTTGGTTTCTACATCATGATTGAAATCGGTCATAAAGGTCAGAGGTTACACATCCTTCCTGTCCCGCAGATATGAGACCAAGACTCCTTTCTACCACTTATGGAAGAGAGGGGGCCCAAGTGAGGGAGAGCCCTCCGAGGGGTGCTCCGTCGTCCTGAAACAGACACACTGGCTTATGCTTCCTTGAGCAGTACTCTCCCAGCATGATCTGGAACCAGAGGTCCAAGCCTCACTGTGGAACCTACCCTATTTTTTTCTTTTTTTTTTTTTTGGGGGGGGGGGGTAGGAGGGTAGTTTCAAGACAGTGTTTCTTTGTGTAACAGCCTTGGCTGTCCTGGAACTTGTTTTGTAGACCAGGCTGGCCTAGAACTCACAAAGATCTGCTTGCCCCTGCCTCCCAAGTGCTGGGTTTAAAGGCCTGAGTCACCGTACCCAGCCCCTTTTATTTTTTCTTAGTTGAAAAGTTACAGCGGTGGTTGGTGGCTCACACCTTTAACCACAGCACTCAGGAGGCAGAGGCAAGCAGAGCTCTTGGAGTTCAAAGCCAGCCTGGTCTACAGAGTGAGTTCCAGGACAGCCAGAGCTACACAGAGAAACCCTGTCTCAGAAAAAAAAAAAAAAGTGACATCTATTTATGTATGTGCGAATGTATGCCACCCCAGGTGCACATGTGGAATTCACAGGACAGCTTGTAGGAGTCTGTTCTTTCCTTCCACCACGTGGGCTCGTGGATGGAAGCGCTGGATGTCAGGGTTAACATTAAGACCCTTTCCTGGCAGGGCCATCTCGTAGACCTGAGTCTCCGCCTTTTTATCTCACAAGGGAGATTAGAGATGAAATTTGAATCTTTTAATCATGAACACACTCAAATGCTTTATCTAAACCCAAATACTGCCAGATATGAGGCTTCTCAGGCCCAACCCCTGGGTCTCCTGATGGAGCAGGTCCAGAATTTCAGGGCCCAGGCATCCATGTCTTAAGCTTTCTGAATAGCTCTGATGTCCAAGAAGCCAGGTAAGTACTGTCCTGGAGGAGGCAGGATGAGGAGAAGGGTCCCAAAGGTGGCAGAGTAGCAGGTAGATCAGTCGATCATGGGGGATGATAGGACTTGTGATAATCGCCTGTTTCCTCACGGGCAGAATAGGGTCAGCATCAGCCCCTTCTCCTCTCCTCATCTCTCCTCTTTGTCTCCCCCCTCCCCCCACTGCAGTGGACCCTGATGCTGTGTGGCTGCTCCAAGGCTGGCTTTTCCAGCACCAGCCTCAATTCTGGGGCCCTGCTCAGATCAAGGCCGTGCTGGAGGCTGTGCCCCGTGGTCGTCTCTTGGTCCTGGACCTGTTTGCTGAGAGCCAGCCTGTTTACATCCACACAGCCTCCTTCCACGGCCAGCCCTTCATCTGGTGCATGCTGCACAACTTTGGGGGTAACCATGGCCTGTTTGGAACCCTGGAGGCTGTGAACCAAGGCCCCAGGGCAGCTCGCCTCTTCCCCAACTCCACCATGGTCGGCACCGGCATAGTCCCCGAGGGCATCGGCCAGAATGAAGTGGTCTATGCTCTCATGGCTGAGCTGGGTTGGCGCAAGGACCCTGTGCCGGATTTGGTGGCCTGGGTGAGCAGCTTTGCCAGCCGCCGATATGGGATCTCCCAACCGGATGCAGAGGCAGCCTGGAGACTCCTCCTCAGGAGTGTCTACAACTGTTCTGGGGAGACCTGCAGTGGGCACAATCGGAGCCCGCTGGTCAAGCGGCCATCACTACAGATGAGTACCACTGTCTGGTACAATAGATCAGACTTGTTTGAGGCTTGGCGGCTGCTGTTAACAGCTGCCCCAAACCTGACCGCCAGCCCAGCCTTCCGCTATGACCTGCTGGATGTCACCCGCCAAGCAGTGCAAGAGCTGGTCAGTTTGTGCTATGAAGAGGCAAGGACCGCCTACCTGAATAAGGAGCTGGACCTCTTGCTCAGGGCTGGAGGCCGTCTGGCCCATATGCTCCTACCTGCCTTAGATGAGCTGCTGGCCAGCGACAGCCGCTTCTTGCTGGGCAGCTGGTTGGATCAGGCCCGGGCCGTGGCTGTGAGTGAAGCTGAGGCCCAGTTTTATGAACAGAACAGCCGCTACCAGCTGACCCTGTGGGGGCCTGAGGGTAACATTCTGGACTACGCCAACAAGCAGCTGGCAGGACTGGTAGCCGATTACTACCAGCCACGCTGGGGTCTCTTCATGGAGACTCTGGCTCACAGCCTCGCCAGCGGCGTCCCCTTCCAGCAGCGCAAGTTTGAGAAGGATGTTTTCCCACTGGAGCAGGCCTTCGTTATCAACAAGAAGAGGTATCCCAGTCAACCCCAGGGGGACACTGTGGACCTAGCCAAGAAGATCTTCCTCAAATATCACCCCCAGGCAGGCTCTTTGTGACAGGCCAGTGGCCCAGGGACCTGCTGGAACAGGTCTTCAAACCTGGAAAAAGCACAGGATGATCCCTGTGCCTAGGGGAAGGAACCAGGGTCAGCCAGTGAGTGTTGATTGGAGGGAAGTGAGCTGCTCTATTCCTCTACCCCAGATCTGGGGGTTAAAGTACTGTTTTTGGTTAACAATAAACTGCTGAATCAGCTTGGCACTATTAAACTCAAGTACCATGTACTGCGGGTATGTCCAGAAGGGTTTGGGTGCACATGTGGGCCCTGGTGTGGAGGGTTCTGGCCCTTACTTCCGATTCCCCATTTTAACACTGGTCCCTAACCTTAGAAGGTGTACAGCAGCAAGCTGGCAATTATAATGGTCCTTTGAGAGCGTGGTGGTACGCACCTGGAATAACAACCCTGAAGAGCTAGAGGCAGGAAGACCAGAAGTTCAAAGCCAACCGCAGCTGTATTATGAGCTTGAAGGCAACCCGGGTACTAGATAGCCTGTCTCAAAAAAACCAAAAATGAGGCTGAGCAGCGGGGTGCACACCTTTCATCCTGCCACTCATGAGGCAAGAGGCAGGTGGATCCCTCTGAGTCTGAGGCCAGCCGGGTCCACTTGGTGAGACCCTTGTCTAAACAAGACGTTCCTTGGGCAGAAGTATTGTCCGTGTGGCCAGGTCTGCCTAGCGCTGCTCAGTCTGCAGCACCGGAGAACCCAGCTGCTACTTAGAGAGCCCCTCCCCCTTGCCCTGACCAGCTAAGGCAGTTTGGTGTCCTTTTCTCTGCTTTGACCCACAGCAGGATGGGGAGAGCCTGCCAGGGACCTGACTCAGCCTTGAGATTGCCGGCAGACATAACAATGGGTGGGGGCCCTGGGGGCAGGAACCTAGCCAAGCAGATACCCAGCCCCAATCTGCCACTAGGACCCTTCGCGCTCTGAACTTCAGTACTCGGTCTTCCTCATGGACCGCACTGTAGTGCTCATTACCGGCTGCTCCTCCGGTATCGGCTTGCACTTAGCTGTTCGTCTGGCTTCTGACCCGTCCCAGAGCTTTAAAGGTATAGGAGGGGGATCAGCATGGAGGCCAGGGAGGAGCCCCCACAGGTAAGCAGGGTGATGAGTCATTTATCCCCTCCCAAATTTTAGTGTATGCCACAATGAGGGACCTGAAGGCACAGGGACCACTGTTGGAGGCAGCCCGGGCTCGAGGATGCCCTCCTGGCTCCCTGGAGACACTGGAATTGGACGTCAGGGATTCGGATTCTGTGGCCGCTGCCCAGGCATGTGTGTCCGAGGGTCGTGTGGATGTGCTGGGTAAGCCTACCTGAAACACACGTAATAGGAGTCTTTACTACCCAGTGCCCATCCAAACCGGCAAGTCCCGAGTTCAGGGAACCACGGGAGCACAAGCGGGAGGGGAGAGAGCAGCGTGTGAGCGGTGTCTGTTCTCTCCTCCCTCCCTGCAGTGTGCAATGCCGGCCGGGGCCTTTTCGGTCCCCTGGAGGCGCATGAGCTGGACGCAGTGGGTGCTGTACTGGACGTGAATGTGGTCGGGACAGTTCGGATGCTGCAGGCCTTTCTGCCAGACATGAAGAGGCGCCACTCCGGGCGTGTGCTAGTGACTGCGAGTGTAGGAGGCTTAATGGGTGAGCAAAAGGGACCGAGTGAGTAAGTAAGTAAGGGGTGCAGAGCAGGGCGAGGAGCGCCAGGGTCTCCCCAACCTTGTCTCCTCTCCCAGGGCTGCCATTCCACGAAGTTTACTGTGCCAGCAAGTTCGCGCTCGAAGGTTTGTGCGAGAGTCTGGCGATCCTGCTGCCGCTCTTTGGAGTCCAGTGAGTCACCAGCCCTCCAGGACCCTCTAAAGCTTGGGAACCCCAGTCCCAGATCTTGGAGACACTCTTGAGCAATGGCTCTGGCTCTCCTTTTCCAGCTCACATTGTGTACCAGACTCTATACAGGGAGCTTGGCGCAGGCAACCTCACTTTATGAGCCGCTCCAGCTCTTAAGGCACATTGGGATGGGAAAACGGAGCGAGTAGGTGACTAGACCCCAGATGGCCATGGGAGCCTTTCTCTAGCAGCATCCGGCTCTGCAAGCGCTCTGGTAAAGCCAGCACCTGCCACCTGGGCACAGCCCCTCTCGGTGTCCTCCCTTTGTGAAGCTAGGACCAGGCTTGTGGTCACCACCATCAAACAGTCACTGCTGTTGCTCCCACAGCGTGAGTCTCATCGAGTGCGGGCCGGTGCACACGGCCTTTTATGAGAAGCTAGAGGGTGGTCCAGGCGGGGCTCTGGAGCGTGCAGACGCCCAGACCCGCCGCCTCTTCACGCACTACCAGCGTGGCTATGAGCAAGCTCTGAGCGAGGCCCAGGACCCAGAGGAGGTGACGGAGGTGGGTGCAAACGGGGCCTCCGAGCTCAGTCTCTGGGTGGGGCACGGTGGCGCACCCCCAGTAGTTCCCTCCACAGACCCGCGCTGCTCTTCCCTGCGCAGCTCTTCCTGACCGCACTGCGAGCCCCGCGGCCAGCGCTGCGGTACTTCTCCACCGACCGCTTCCTGCCACTGACCCGAATGCGCACAGAGGATCCCAGCGGCAGCAGCTACGTCGCCGCCATGCACCGCGAGGCCTTCGCTGATCTGCAGGCGCAGGAGGGCCCTGAAGCTGGGGCCAGAGCCCCTGGGGACCGGGATGCGACCTCCAGTGCCCTCATTTGCCTCCCAGGGTGTACGTCCCCTAGGGTGGCATCTGAATTATGCTGGCCTGCATCAAATAAACCGGGTCAGGACTAACCATGTTACCAGCAAAAGAGCTAAAAAAAAAAGGTCTCCTTTTTCTTATTTTAGAATTTGTTTTGTTTTTGGCAGGGGCTCACTATGTAGCCCTGGTTGGCCTCTAACTCATAGAGAGCCTCCTGCCTTTGCCTCCTGAGTGTTGGAACCAAAGGTCTGTGCAACTGTGCGCTTCTCAGAATCTTTTTTTTTCTTTTTTTTGATTTTTCGAGACAGGGTTTCTTTGCGTAGTTTTGCGCCTTTCCTGGGACTCACTTGGTAGCCCAGGCTGGCCTTGAACTCACAGAGATCCGCCTGGCTCTGACTCCCAGTGCTGGGATTAAAGGCGTGTGCCACCACCGCCCGGCCAGAATCATTTTTAAATAGTGCAAACTTCCTCATTGGTCAAGATTGAGCTAATATAAACCGGGCGGTGGTGGCACACGCCTTTAATCCCAGCACTCAGGAGGCAGAGCCAGGCGGATCTCTGTGAGTTCGAGGCCAGCCTGGACTACCAAGTGAGTTCCAGGAAAGGCGCAATTGCAGCTACACAGAGAAACCCTGTCTCGAAAAACCAAAAAAAAAAAAAAAAAAAAAACAACAAGGGACCCTGTCTCAAAAAGAGCAAACCAAAATACACACCAGACACGCTGGTGGGAGGCAGAGGCTGACCAATCTCTGTGAGTTCAAGGCCAGCCTGGTCCACATAGTAAGTTCCAGACCAACCAGTGCTACATAGTAAAACCCTGTCTCAAAAAAAAAAAAAAAAAAAAAAACCAAAAACTGGGCGTGGGGGGAGGCTAATCTAATTTTATCTGCTTAAAACACTCTTGCCTGGGCTGGAAGTCTAGCTCAGGGGACAGAGCTTGCTTCATAAGGCAGAGTTTGAGGGTGGAAGATCCTTTCTGCTGCCTCCATCTGAGTAAAATCTCATGTTTGACCCTAAGCTCTCAAGACTTTCTGTGGTGTTCCTGCACCTTTTTTCTTTTTCACTTTTTTGCTTGTGCATGTGTCTATGTGTGTTCCCATGTATGTGGGCAGATGTGTGTGTGTGTGTGTGTGTGTGTGTGTGCGCGCGTGCGCGCGCGCCTGTGTGGAGGTCCAGAGTTGAAGTGAGGAGTCTTTTATTTCTTGGTGCGAGGACTCACTGGACCCAGAGCTCATGACTCCAGCTTGTCTAGACTAGCAGCTTGCTCCCAAGGATCCTAGGACTCTGACTCCCTGGTGCTGGCATTACAGGAGGACATCAAGGCAATACTTTTATGTGCATCTGGGGACCTGAACTCGGGTCCTCTGGGTTTTATCCATGAACCATCTCCCCAGCCCCTGCAACCTTTGTGACCCCTTATGTCACCTTCTTTATCTGTGCACACTTCTGTTCTCCTGGTCTGTTAATACCATCATTGACCCTGTCCCACCCGCCCCGAGACAGGGTTTCTCTGTGTAGCCCTGGCTGTCCTAGAACTCACTCTGTAGACCAGGCTGGCCTCGAACTCACAGAGATGCGTCTGCCTCTGCCTCCTGAGTGCTGGAATCAAAGGTGTGTGCCACCACCACCCTCCCGGCTTTCCGATTGTATTTTCTTTGACAGGTCTTTGCTATTTTCCTGAGCCACCCTACCTAAAAAAAGTATTCCTTCCCCTCCAGTATAGTTCCGTCCCCTTGTTGTAGTCTTCTTTATTGTTGATCACCACCAGATGTATTCTGGATTTATCGTTTATTCATCCCATCCCAAGACATCCACGAATCAACCTCAGTGAACTTTGTTCTCTGTTCTATCTTTTATGCTCAGGACAGTGCACTAAATAGACACTTACCTAAGAAAAGCAACGCTGTGTGATTACGCACTGAGATTCTGTCTCAAAACAAACAAACAAAAGTACCTGTGCCAGATGTAAGACTAACACCTCCCCAACCTGTGCTCTGACTCCTTTAAACTCTCTAAAATCCAAGTTGAACTGTCTTCTGCAAGAAGCTTGATTCCTTAATAGATTAGTTACAGCACCTGCCCCGTCCAGGGCTTTGGGGCTAATTTCAAACTTGCAGCGATCCTTCTGGGATCAAAGCTGGGATCGCAGATCAACGCTCCGATCTTTTCACGAATCTCGAGGCCGGGTTGCTCTCCTTTTTGCTATCTCCATGGATGATTTACCTGAGATGTGTTCTGATATCTGGCTTCCCCTCCACTAGACTTTCCAGCCCTCATTAACTTCGCCGGGAATCCTCATCCTAGGTCTCCCTTTGCCCCCGGCCAGAGATTCGGGCAGCCTTGCAGACCTAACACGCTGAGACCGCCCTCTTGCCTGTCCTTACAAACCTCAGAGTCCTACGGAAACCACGAGACCCGCCCCTAGGTCTGCCAAAACACTCAGAAGCCCAATGTCCCTTGTGTGGATAGGAGATGTGGTAGAGCTGTCTAGTAGCTTCGCTGGGAACTCCCGGAGCAAGCACAACAACGTGACCCCACTGTCCCCGTCACAGGCATTGAGAAGGGACGCCGGGAGGGGTCCTGGCTTTGTCACAGTCTCCCAGCAAGCCGGGGCAAGCAAAGACCAATAGGAATCCGCGAAATGGGCCCCGCCCTCTTCCTGCCAGCCTACGAGAATCCGGTGCCAGGGTTTCGCGCAACCCCGAAGCCCCTGCGCTTAGCCCCGCCCCGCCCCGCCCCTCCCCGCCCCGCCCCGCCCCAGAAGTCTCTCGAGAATCCTGCCGGACCTCGGAGTTGCACCGTCTGACTGCTCTGAGGTCCCGTAGCTCCGTGCTGTGAAGTCTGAGGGTAGTGCTTCCGGGCCGCAGCCTAGGACGCCTCCGCGGCGGTGTAAGTAGAAGCAGAATCCCAAGATCTCAGTGAGTAGGGAGGCGGCCCGAGCCACAGCGTCCCCTCTCCTCCCCGCCTTCCAGTCTTCGCAGATGCCGGTTCAGTCTAACCAGAGGGGCTAGGATTCCTGAAGCCCCAGCCCCCATGACTCAGGGGTTCCCGGCAGGTCCCCCCTGCCTCGATTCCGGTTTCTATGAGCGAACGCCCCCCTGCCCTGCTCCAGGTCCCTCCTCCTGCGTCCGAGTTCCCCTGCCCGCCTAGTCACTCTCGGTTCGTCTCCCTGACTGTCTGCAGGCCTGGGCAGCATGGCCGTATTCCGCTCTGGCCTCCTGGTGCTGACAACGCCGCTGGCCACCTTGGCCCCACGTCTGTCTCCCATCCTGACCTCGGCGGCTGGCCTGGTCAGTCACACCCTCTATGTGCACCTGCAACCGGGCATGGACCTGGGGGGTCCCGCTCAGCCCCAGGCCAGCCCCGTGCAGGCCACCTTTGAAGTTCTGGATTTCATCACACACCTCTACACCGGCGCCGACCTGCTCAGGCACCTGGACGTCAGAATTCTACTGACCAATATCCAAACCAAGAGCACTTTTGTCCCCGTTCTGCCCTCCGTTCAGAATCTGGCCCAGCCTCCAGAAGTAGTACTGACGGACTTCCAGACCCTGGATGGGAGCCAGTACAACCCGGTTAAACAACACCTGGAGCGTTATGCTACCAGTTGTTACAGCTGTTGTTCACAGTTGTCTTCCATCCTGCTGTATCCGGATTATGGAACTGGAGAGCTGCCCGTGGAGACCCCGAATGCCTCCTTACCCTCCACCATAAGGCCAGCTTCCCCAGTGGCCAGATCTTCAAAGCAGCCTGTGCGTGGCTACCACCGTGGGGCCGTGGGTGGCACTTTTGACCGCTTGCACAACGCCCACAAAGTGTTGCTCAGTATTGCATGTGTGCTGGCCCAGGAGCAGCTTGTGGTGGGAGTAGCAGACCAAGACCTGCTGAAGAGTGAGTGAGAGGGAACCTGGTTAGGGCAATGGAGGACACCCATTCAGTGTCCTGGGCTCCCCCACTGCCAAGATCAAGGAAGGGTAGGGCCGCTTCCTACCGTTACACAATGCCACAATGCCCGACACTGTTCTTGCTGTGGGACCTACGTTAGATGAATAGATGTGGTCTTCTTAGTGCGTGGGTCAGTCACCTTTACTGAAGTCAGGACTCCCCAAATGGGAACCAATGAATTTGCACTTTATGGTTCTCCAAGTGATCACCTCTAAGGATGGGGTGGTCCTCCACCTAGCCGATACCTACTGGTACTGCTTCTCTGGAGTCATTTTTTTGGTGGCTTGTTTTCTGGGTACCTGGCAGCCCTTGCAGTGTCTGCTGCTTGTTTATTTCTTCCCCTTTGTCTCCCTCGCCCCCAGAAACTGTTCCCGTCTCACCCTTTCTTGCTGCCGCTGCTTGGGGGGATTTCAGTACCGAGGGACGTTCTTCCCCAAATGGGCTGCGTGTCTACTCCGGTGGGAAGATCTCACTGGTGCTCTTGGCTCCTTCTCCAGGCAAGCTGCTCCCTGAGTTGCTCCAGCCCTATGCCCAGCGTGTGGACCATCTGAGTGAGTTCCTGGTGGACATCAAGCCCTCCCTGACTTTTGATATCGTCCCCCTGCTGGACCCCTATGGGCCTGCTGGGTCTGACCCTACCTTGGAGTTCCTGGTGGTCAGCGAGGAGACCTATCGTGGGGGGATGGCCGTCAACCGCTTCCGCCTTGAGAATGTAACCCCTGAAGGAGACCGCCAGAGGGAATGGGAGGGGGAGGCCTGTTGGAAGTACTGTGGCCCCAGGGCAGGGAAGGGAGGGTTCAGGGGAAGCCAAAAGGAACTTGTCTGTGGCATTGGAGGAGGAGAGGGATAGGTAAATAGAGGGCAGATTGGGGCTCCAGATTCATCCCCACCCCTTTTTTTTTTAAAGATTTATTTATTTATTATGTATACAACATTCTGCCTCCATGTATGCCTGCATGCCAGAAGAGCACACCAGATCTCATTATAGGTGGTTGTGAGCTACCACGTGGTTTCTGGGAATTGAACTCAGGACCTCCGGAAGAGCAGCCAGTGCTCTTAACCTCTGAGCCTCCAGCCCGTCATCCCCCTTTCTCTTACTCCCTTTACCTCAGGGCAAGGAGGAACTTGCCTTATACCAGATACAGCTGCTGAAGGACCAAAGTCACGGTGAAAATGAGGAGGACAAGGTCAGCTCCTCCAGCTTCCGTCAGCGGATTCTGGGAAACCTGCTTCAGCCTCCAGATGTAAGCTTGCCCGCCCGCCTGCCTGCCTCCCTTCCTTCCTCTTCACTGAAGGCGCATGTTGGAAATGCTGGAGGATAGAAACAGGCTCGCTACTGGAAGTGTGAACTTGAACTCCCTGGTAACTCGGGTCTCACTTCCCTGTCTCCAGCAGAGGCCGGAGCTCCCATCTGGGCTCTATGTGCTCGGGCTGACAGGCATCAGTGGCTCTGGGAAAAGCTCAGTAGCTCAGCGCTTGAAGAACCTGGGAGCATATATCATTGACAGTGACCATCTGGGCCACCGGGCCTATGCTCCCGGGGGCCCTGCCTACCAGCCTGTGGTGGAGGCCTTTGGAGCAGGTACTGACTGTGGAGGTGGACTGAGGTGAGAAGATGGCCTGGCCCCTTTGCTTAGCCTTCTTTCTCTGTCACCCAGATATTCTTCATAAAGATGGCACCATCAATAGGAAGGTCCTGGGCAGCCGGGTGTTTGGCAACAAGGTAAACACACACACACACACACACACACACACACACACACACACACACACACCCTCTTCAAGAGTTCTGTAGCTGCTGCCAGATCCGTGGGCAGATTCAGTGGACTCCCTGGTCTGGCACAGGAAGTCCGTTTCTGCTCATCTTCTCCCAGCCTCCACCTCCCAGGCTGATTGATATATTTCTCAGGGACGCTAACCTCTGCCCCCCTGTCTCTGTCCCCCTCCCCAGAAGCAGATGAAGATCCTCACAGATATTGTGTGGCCAGTTATCGCAAAGCTGGCCCGAGAGGAGATGGACTTGGCTGTGGCTAAGGGTGAGTGGGAGGGACGATGGGAGCAGCCAGAGTAGGAAAGTTAAGCAGCAACCCCCTTTGGGACCTTCCTTGGCCCCAGGGGGACCATTCACTACGCTTGGTGTGCTGACAGGTAGCAAGTGTCAAGGCGCTGCTGGCAATGACTAGGCTTTCCCCACAGGAAAGTCTGTGTGTGTGATAGACGCCGCTATGCTGCTGGAAGCCGGCTGGCAGAATATGGTGCACGAGGTGTGGACCATTGTCATCCCTGAGACCGAGGTATCTGGACCCTACTCTTCCCCGTCTGAGCCACTGCAGACAGTTTCCTGCTCTGACCCAGGAGACGGGGCTGGGGTCCTTCCTGATCGGTGTGTCATCCGTGCCCAGGCTGTACGACGCATCGTTGAGAGGGATGGACTGAGCGAGGCAGCCGCGCAGAGCCGGCTGCAGAGTCAGATGAGCGGGCAGCAGCTGGTAGAGCGGAGCCATGTGGTCCTGAGTACCTTGTGGGAACCACATGTCACACAGCGACAGGTTGGTGCGGAGGGAAGTTGTGGGAGGGACCGTCCAGTGCTTGTCTCCCTGACCCTGTCCTCTTCTACCATTCCGGACTGGCCAAAGGTGGAAAAGGCCTGGACTCTTCTACAGAAGCGCCTCTCTAAGACCCACCAGACCAAGAACTGACAGTGGATTTTCTGTGGCACCAAAGTGGCCCCTGGAACTGACAAATCCGGTGGTGAGGAGGAATGGGGGCCTCGATGTCCACCCTCTGGCAGGCCTATGGGGCTTCAAGCTAAGCTGTGCAGGACGCAGACAGAAGCCTGGAAGGCTGCCTAGCATGCTGGAATTTGGCCAGCAGTGAGGCTGTAGCCAATGGGGGAGCAGTCCCTCTAGGGTTCCGTCCCCTTTAGTGGTGGATGTGATGTCTGTCTACCGTTGATGGGTTGTGGCAAACACTGGACCCAGTAGCCGAATTAAAGATGTTCCCAAGGCTGCCTGTGTGGTTTCTCCTTCCTGCTCCAGTGCCTCTAGGGACCTTTGGATTCTCAGGCACCACATTCAGGGACAAGGCCTGAGTTGGAAATCAGGGAATGCTGTGGTTAAGTGTGGCCTTTGAGGCTAGCCAGACTGAAGTCAGCCTATCAGTGACTAGCGATGTGCTTAGTGTGTTAGACTTGACTATTGTTCTGCCTATAAGCCTAACTTCAAAGCCTCTTTACAAGGTTTAATTAAACAAGCGCCATGTCAGACACCAGCTGGGTGTTGGGTGGCGTTGTTCCCGCATTGAATCAGATCATGTGACACGGGAAGTTCTTGACCCTGCTGTGGTTGCCAGCCCGATCAGCCGTGCGCGTGCGTACACGATGTCACACTGTTCAGCCGCTTTTTTGTGAGTGGTGCCGGGGCTCTCAGGGTTCTACCACCGAACTAGTACACTTCTATCCCATTTGACAATCCTTTTGAGAGGGATTCATTGAACAGAAAACCGCTGCCATTCTAGATTCTCATTTGGAGGCGAGCGGGACCCACGGCTGTTTACATTGCCTGCATTAATGCGAATTGGTCAGGTTTAGCCACCGCCAGCAGGCATTTAATAAGTGGAGCCGCGCAAGCGCAGCCCTTTGGCCCCGCCCATGACCGCAATCGCGGATTGGTGGGCTGGATCATGTGATCGAGCCTCGCCTCTTCCCGGAGGCTGGGGGCCAGTCCGCAGGCTTGTTTCCGGTTCGGTAGGTCCACGATGACGGAGCCGGGCGCCTCTCCCGAGGACCCTTGGGTCAAGGCAAGCTCCGCGGACGCGCACGCCGGCGAGGGGAGGGCGGGTCGGGCTCGTGCACGTAGGGGTTCCGGAAGACGCGGGGTTCCCCAACTATCCCCAGAGTCTCCCCTGCTGTCCGGGCCCCGGGGCTGCAGAGAAGACAGCTCTCACCCGGCGTGTGCCAAGGTGGGGAGACAAATGAGGCATGGGGGGGAGGGGACAAAGGGGACGTGCCTGGGAGGTGGGGCGGGGGCTGCAGGGATCATACAGAGGGGGCGGCGCCCCTGCGGCCTAGCCAGGCTTGGCTTTGGGAGAGCCATTCAGCGGTCCCCACACCGGTGGTACGTGCATCTGCGGGTTGCATGTGCCTTTTTCTCGAGGCAAAGGTCTGACAGGTTTCTCCCTTGCTTGATGCTGCAGGTGGAGTATGCCTTCAGTGACAACAGCCTGGACCCTGGTGAGTGCCCTCTCCACCGTCTTCGCGTCAGGAATGACCCGTGTCAGCTCTGTAGATCTTTGTGGTCTTGCCAGCCACACCTGAGCACAGTCCACTGTCACTGCGCCAAGGTCCTGGCTTGAGAAGTGAGGGAGGAGCTGAAGGATAGGCAGGAAGCAACCATGGGTCACACCTGGTTTCTTTGCCTTAGAACGGGAAATGATGGAAATAGTGACAGATGGTCATATTCATTGCATCCAGATGCCCCCTTGTGAGCCAGGAATTGGTCCTGTGGGCAGTGTAGACACTAGAAACAGGAGCATTGCAGCATGAAGTGGGTGGCCCGTGGTGGCCAGCTTTGGAGTTGAGGGGGAGAGGTCAGCGTTTGAAGCCATTGTGTCCATAGGTGACTGAGGCCTCTTTCTTCCAGGGCTTTTTGTAGAAAGCACCCACAAGGGGAGTGTAGTGTCCAGAGCTAATAGCATCGGCTCCACCAGTGCCTCCTCCGTCCCCAACACAGGTAGGCAGCAACACACTCCCCCCAGACCTGGGAGACTAGCTACGCCCTCACCTTAGTCCTCCCTCAATAGGGAGCTCCACTGTCCACATGGGGAGGCTGGGGCAGTGCCAAGCCTGAGTCTCACTATACCTCATCCAAGATACTAGGTTCTTTGCATTTACCATCCCTGGGCACCAAGGTTTCAACTAGGGAAAAGTGGGCTTGCTGGACTCAGTGGACCCTGAAGTGACCTGTCCCTGCCTCCATCTCTGAGTCTAGATGATGAGGACAGTGATTATCAGCAAGAGTCCTACAAGGAATCCTACAAAGACCGGAGGCGGCGTGCACACACTCAAGCTGAACAGAAGAGGAGGGATGCTATCAAGGTGACTGGGGGGAGGGTGTGTGTGTCTGTACCCCAGGCAGCAAGGGAGAAGTCTGCATGGTTCTTATTCACCCTGCCCTGGCCCTTTTAGCCCCAGGAGTCTGCAGGAAGGGGGAGCTGGGCTAGTCCCCTGCCTGTAGGGCTTTCCTCCAGCCCTCTGTGCTTTGAGTTTCTGAGCATGGAATTGGTATCAAGTCTGTGCTGGCCTGGCTTCTTCCTGAGTTCAGAAACCTGTTTCCTTGCTGTTTCCAGAGAGGCTATGATGATCTTCAGACCATCGTCCCTACCTGCCAGCAGCAGGACTTCTCCATCGGCTCCCAAAAACTCAGCAAAGCCATCGTCCTACAGAAGAGTATGGATGGCCAGGGCCACAGGGCCGGGGTGGTGGTGGTGACCGGGAGGGGCTGGTGCCTGGTCTGACCCAGGTGGGGTGGCTGTAATGGGAAGATTGGGTCATAGGGGAAGGGGAAACAAAACGAGCCAGCCTCCTGCTTCAGACTTCCTCTGTTCCCAACCCCTCTCTCGGCCTTATTCCAGCCATCGACTACATCCAGTTTTTACACAAGGAGAAGAAAAAGCAGGAGGAGGAGGTATCCACACTGCGCAAGGATGTCACAGCCCTGAAGATAATGAAAGTGTAAGGGTGCTGGGCTGAGGGTGTACTGAGCCGAGGGGGTGCTGAAGTCAACTCCAGTCCTCTTCTCTCTTGTTCAAAGCCTGTATCGGAGAATGCATGTAGGCAGTACTGACTCCGAGGTAGTTGCTCTAAGGCAGGACTATGTCCCCATTAGCCTTTCACATACAGCAGACCTACAGGAAGTGAACACCTGTCAGGTTAACAAGGAGTGGGTTGCAGGGAGTCACAGTTCTGACTTAGTGTTCAGCTGATGTTGACAGCATCCCCAAAGGTCTCTAAGTTCTGGGGAGACCACTGGCTCATCCTGCCATGTGTCTCAGGTTGGTGGGACGGCTGTTGTACCTCAGCTCTGCATGCTTGTATGCTTTCAGGAACTATGAGCAAATTGTGAAGGCACATCAGGACAACCCTCATGAGGGAGAGGACCAGGTCTCTGACCAGGTCAAGTTCAACGTGTTTCAAGGCATCATGGACTCCCTATTCCAGTCTTTCAATGCCTCTATCTCTGTGGCCAGCTTCCAGGAGCTGTCAGCTTGTGTCTTCAGCTGGATTGAGGAACACTGTGAGCCACAGGTATGTGGCAGTAGGGGCCATGGGGTCTGAGGTTCTCTTACTACCTCCAAAGCAAAGTGGTCCAAGCCATTCAGAAAAGCAGCGGGATTCTGTGGGATTCTACAGGGTGTCTACAAAGTTTAGTATTCTGTTTCTCTTTGCTGCCTAGCCCTATAAAGACCTCATCTGGCAACCATGATGTGAGCCCTCAGTGGCAGGTCTAGCTTTGGCCCACATCATTGGTGACTCATCAGCCACTCTACTTCATGGCTGTCCTGTATAGAAGCCAGCAGTAGTTACTGAAAGTTTCTAGAAACATGTAGATTACAGGACACCCCACCCCATTGTAGACCCAGGGCTTTTTATTGTGCTGTCTTCTGCACTTGAGGCCTGGCTGGGTTTTCTCAGATTTCTCCTTTCATGTTAATCAACATTTTCATTGTGAAATACTTTGAACATTGTAACAGTGAACACCCATATCCACCACATCAGTTGCACCAATGACATATTCATCTGTGTCCCTATCTTGTTTCAGGAATATTTGAAAATTAAAAGGAGGTAACACTCCATCTTGGGTTCCCCTTCCCCCTTAAAAAACAAAACACATTTTATGTACATGGGTGTTTTGCTTGCATACATCTATGCATCCCATGTGTGTGCCTGATGCCAGAGGCCAGAAGAGGGCACTGGATCTTCTGCAACTGGAGTTCAGGTGGTTGGGAGCTACTATGTGGGTGCTGGGAACAAGGCCTGAGTCCTCTACAAGAGCAGCAAGTGCTCTAACCAGTGAGCTACCTCTCTAGCACTCCCCCTCCCCTTGTTTAGTGTGCAATAGCACACACGGAGAGGTCAGAGGACAGCTTTTTAGTCAGCTCTTCCACTTCTCTGTAAGCTCCAGGGAGGTGGAACCTAGGTCACCAGGCTTGCATGGCACTAGGTTTCCCTGGTGGAGCCGTCTCACCAGCCTCTCTTCTCTGAGTGCTGGGAAGTCCCCCAAGAGCCGTGTGCCTAGCCCTTAGGTGACTGTTTCAAATGCTCTCTTCAAGAGCGTGCTTGGGCTAGGCAGGCATCTTAAAGGCCCGTGCTATCACCCGACCATTCTTCCCTAGACTCTACGAGAAATTGTGATTGGTGTCCTACATCAGCTGAAAACCCAGCTCTACTGACGGCTCCCGGAAACCTGCAGGGCAGAGGCCTTCAGTCTGTTAGGAACTGCTGGGCCTGAGACTGGACTGCAACACCTCACACCGGTCAGCTGGTTTCTACTTGGTGTTTGGTTTGCCCGGCCCCGCTTCAGCTTCGGTGAGGCTGAGGTCTGTGGAAGCTTCTCATTAATTTATTATATTGCTCACGATGTTGACCCACTCCGCCTTCCCCTCCCTAGGAAAAGTCTTCAGGACAAGAGTCTGTTCAGGGAACCTTACAGAACCCCTGGCCCCTCAGCCCTTTCTCTGACTGACCATCAGGTCTATGCTCACAATCTACAGATATAATTTGGAAATTGTTTGCCTCTGCTTGGTCTCTTGGGCAACACTTGGCTCAAGTTTGGGTCTTTTGGCAGTTTTTGACTTGGAAAAAAAGGAAAAGAAATAGTCCCATGGCCAGGAAGGGTAAAAGGCCACCTTGTTCCTATGCCAGGGCTGTGTGGTCGGTACTAAGTGAGGCCAGGGCTTTCTAGCCAGCTCAGGGTAAGGCTGCCAGGTTCCTGCTGTCCCCTCATATTCAACCATACTGTGTTTGGTAGAGGAAGCAATGTCCTGTCAGCTCCTGCCCTGTCTCTTCCCAAGGCAGGTGCCCCACAGAATTACATATTTGAACTTGTTCTCTAAATATCAACAGTATATTTTTGTGATATGTAGTTTCCCAAAGTTCTAACTGGACCTCCAAAGCACCCCAGCTTTCCTGTGTAATGTATCTGTGTACCTCCCACATTTCTCCTAGGACTTGGGAGATAGATACAGAAGACGCTCAGGTCGTCTGGGGTAGGCCTGGGTGGTGCCTTGGGATTCTCGGATGTTAGTGTGTGACCACCTTTCTGTACTTGCTCGCCCGTGTCCCCTGTTGCCTTCCCCAGGTTTGACATCTGGGAGGTTTGATAATCCAGAGGAAATTAAGTATTTTTATATCAAATTATATTACAATAAATATTCCAGATACTTTCCTTGAAGGTTGTGAAGTCCTTGTGGAGGCCTTTGTGACATGGACAACAAAACGGACATGACCATCTCTTTCTGATCACCAGCTCTGTACTTCCCTCCCTCCCACTCACGGTGGAGAGCAGCGAGGACAGTTAGGAGGCCTCCTCAACAAGGCAGCCAGCCCAGGACATCTGCTCCTAGTCCCCAAGGGCCCCTCAGGGGTCTGGGAGCCTGACATTATGATCTTCATCTGTCTCTATCCCAACTTCCTCCTGTGGGGCAAGGAAAGAAATGGAGGAGTCCTCTGGGCAAAGATCCCAGGGGAGCAAGAGAAAGAGTCACTTACAAAGAACTGCTTCTTGCTCTTGGGGTATCCTTCGAGGATCGCATCACACAGCTCGGTGGTCTGACAAGAAACGAAGCCCCTCTCAGATGGGCAGGAGTAGTACAGGGCACTGCCTGCTGGATCATTTTGCACAGAAACTTCCCTAGTGATTGGCACTTCCCACGCTTCCAGAGCCACCCTGGGGTTCTCACTCACCATTCTCTTCCGCTTCCTCCACTCTTTACAATACTTCTGCCTTTCTTTGTACACCTGCAAGGAAGAAACATGATTGTCTGTGCGCCTTGTGTTCGCTCCAGCCCGGCACAGGCAGCCTCCAGCCCCCCAGCTCACCTTCTCTTTCTCTTCCGGCGTGACGTGGTTGGTGGCTGCTTTGATGTTCCCCAGTCTTTCTGTATAGTGCGCACACTCCTTCTTTAATTCCTGGATCTCTTTCTGCATCTCCGGAGTGGTCAGCGCACTTGTTAATTCCTTCAGCTCTGAAACCACATGCCCCCAGAGTTAGCAGTCTGAGGGAGGGAGGGATTCTGTCTTGCCCAGCAGGTACTCTGGGACCTCTCTAGAACAGGACCCCACATTCTGGAGAAGCTCAAGACAAAGGCTTACAGCATGATGAGTTTGTTATCTGTTGCTCTTTCCTGCTCCATGTAAAAGCAACAATGGCGTATAAAGTTGAGCAGACTGATGTACAGGTAATTAAAGAAGTGGAAGTGCAGTGTGCTCATCGTGGCAGGGAAAGCAAGTGGCTTGCCTGCCTGCCTTGCCCTTTCATACACAAAAGCTGTGAGTAATTCTGTACTTCAGTGTAATAGCGTAGGCACCGGCAAAGGAGGCCTGGTTGCAGTAAGACATTGCAGACGAGGAACCACTCTGTTCGCAATTTGTGGCCTCCAAACCCTGGCACCTTGGAGGGGTCCTCAGCCTTACCAGCCTCCATGTGGCGGCAGCTCTGCTGTAGGTTCTGCACCTTGGCAGTGAGGGCCACAATTTTGGCATCCAGGCTGTGGAGGTCAGCATCATTCACTGCGTCAAACTGGTCCTGCCAGCCAAGAGGAGAAAGACAAGTGAGTTCATGTCAGGCACAAAGATAAACAAAAGGTGAAATGCAATGCCTGTCCTCAGGACCTTCCAGGTTGGCAAAAACAATAATTAAGACAGAGATGTAAGGCCAAGTGTGATGGCCCATGCCTGTAATCCCAGCACTCGGGAGACACAGAAGGTGGATTTGAGTTGGAGGCCAGCCTGGACTATATAGTGAGTTCCAGGATAGCCAAGGCTGTGTAGAGACCATGTCTCAAAAAAACCAAAAACAGGAAATACATTTCCATTCAGTGCTAAAGTCGATCATTGTGTAAAGGAAGGAAGCAGCATTCCTTCTGAAGTGGAGAATCATGTCCAGTGCAAGAGGCCCAGTGGGTCCTGGTAAGGAAGGGGCTCCTCCTTGAGGGGTTCTGCCGGGAGAGGGCCACTGGGGAGCAACAAGAGCCTCATCGGCTGAGGCTGAGAGTAAGGAGCTTACAAAGGACGGGAACGCCAGACCCAGCATTTGACTGCACACTCAGGCTTTGGACTGCACACTCAGGCACGGCGAATCTGAACAGCAGCCGCTAGTCAAATCTTTCATGGAAAAAAAAAAAATTGCAGCCAGGCGGTGGTGGCGCACGCCTTTAATCCCAGCACTCGGGAGGCAGAGGCAGGTGGATCTCTGTGAGTCCGAGGCCAGCCTGGACTACAGAGGGAGTTCCAGGACAGGCACCAAAACTACACAGAGAAACCCTGTCTCGAAAAATCAAAATAAACAAATAAAAATTTGCAGCCATGTCCATTGAGTTCTATCTCCTATGGTTGCTCTTGTTTTACAGAGCTGAAGAGACGAAATGCCCGAGAAGGTCTAAAAATACAGTGAAGCCCCTGAGCCATGTTACCAGCCCTAGATTTGCATTTAGATAGATCATTCTGGCTACAATATCCAAGATGAGATCTGTTAGAGAGCAGCGAAAACAAGTTAGATTCAATAAAGAAAAAACTTGAGCCAGCCTGGTAATACACATGCACACTTGTAAACTCAGCACTCAGGAGGCTGAGGCAAGACAGCAAGGTCGAGGCCAGCCTGGGCTACATAGTGAGACCCAGTCTCAACCCTCTGCCCTCCAAAAAAAGGGGTAGGTCGGGGAGAAATCAGATATAATTGGTAAATGACCGTACGGTCAGACATGTGAGGTTAAAAAAAAAAACAAGAACAGGGGAAAAGTGGTTCCCTTAGAAAAGAATGCTGCTAGAAAGCCAGTTTAGGGGGAAAAGGGGGGCAGGAATTAAGCATTCTACTTTGGCCATATTGATATTGATACTGATACTTAATATTTGAGAGGCATCCAGAGAGAAGTCTGGGTGGGAGAATACAAATTTGATGCGTTTGGGGTAGTGGGCAGAGGAAGAAGAAACGCTTTTGGGAGAGGGTGGGGCTAGACGATGATAGATCTTCCATGCAGAAATGAGGCTGGGAGGAGTAACAAGCCAAGGTCTTCTGTCTGTCCATACCTCAAATGAACGCTGACCAAGTGTGATCACAGGCAGTGTATACCTGATTTCACAACGTCTGAAGCCCTTTTACGGCACAGGCTGGGTTAATCTCGTGAGGTGCCTCATCACTCCTAACTAGTTAAATGCTGGGAGTTGATTCGCTCAGACAGGTTCTCAGGTGGACGCTAATGGGGGAGTGCTAATCTGCGCGAGTTCTCACCTGATCGGCAAAGTAAATTTTCTGCTTGCCATACGTCTTCTCTTTGATCTTGCCTTGCTGGGCCAGCTGATCCAGAGCCTTCACCACCGCCTGGCCGAGGGGAGGGTGGGGCAATCAGATTTCCGCTGGTGACAGGGAAAAGGGGACCCAAGCCTGGTAGGGGAGTTCAGCGGGGAGGGAGCCCCCCCAAAGTGGGGGTGTCTCACCGCCTTGCCCAGTCCATGCTCCTTCTGCAGGTTTCCGAACACGTCCTGGGCGCTGTAGGGCCGGTTCTGTTCCTGCAGGTACCTCAGGATGATCCCGGGGGCTGCGGGAGACGAGGTGGGAGACCAGGTCACCCCCGACCCCCTTGCCCGCTCCCCTCCCGGGCCCTGTGGGCGCCGCCGTTACCTCCGGCAGCAGCCTCGGCCCGGCTTTTACTCATGGCCTTTCCCGCCACCGAACTCAAGGCCGTGGGCCGGTTGGTTGCTCCGGGAGACACCTCCTTCCGGTGAAAGTCTCAACGCTGATTGGCTGCGGGAGAAGCCTTCCGGAAAAGCGCCGGAACCTTCCGGGACCCCATAGCTCCGCCGGCCGCGGTCTAGAAGCTTAGCGCCCGGCCTTGGCGACAAGTCGGGGCCCGCTTCTGGGCCGTCCGCGCTGGCTGCGGTGAGCGGCCCCTTCCACCTCCAGCCGCCGGGCGAGCACTCGTGACCTTGAGCTAGGCCCAGGCGGTGTCGGACCGGTGAGAAACCTGAGCGTTCCAACTCCCGCCCCGCTCAAGGTCACCGGGCTGGTCACCCGCCGGAGCGTGGCTGTCCTCCCCGGGAGGGCCTGAGCACGCTAACAACGCCCGTTCCCGTGCGTCGCACGTAGGGGGCGCTCGACACCAGCTGTGGCTTCAACCCCCAAAAAGACGGTTGGGAGCAGAGGCTACTCAAGCCACAGGTTTCAAAGTCGCCAGTTAGCCCGGGCTGCAACACCTGACAGGTGCTTTCCACTCCTGACCACAGGGGCCAGTCCGGTGGAGCCTGAAATAAGTATTTCTAGTTTCTGAGGTCTGCTGAAGGTAAAGAGCAGCTGTCCTTGCAGCTCGGAGTCCCGTGGAAGGGCGCACAGCATGAATTTTTCAGGCCTTCTGCTACCTAAAACTCAATTAGCCTTTGTTCAGAACAAGTTGTCTCCATTTGTTTAAGGGGCAATGTTAAGAATTAAAAATGAAGCCGGGCGGCCGAGCAGTGGTGGCGCACGCCTTTAATCCCAGCACTCGAGAGGCAAAGCCGGGCGGAGGCCAGCCTGGTCTACAGATCAAGATCCAGGAAAGGCACAAAGCTACAGAGAAACCCTGTCCCGAAAGAAAAACAAAAAACAAAAAACTGAAGCCGGGCAGTGGTAGCACACGTCTTTAATTCCCAGCACTCAGGAGGCAGAAGCAGGAGGATCTCTGTGAGTTTGAGGCCAGTCTGGTTTGTTCCACAGAAAAACCCTGTCTCAAAGAAAGAAAAGAAAAAAAATTAAAAATGGAATAATGAGGCTGAAGAAATGGCTCAGCTGTTAAGAGCACTTGCTTTTCTTGCAGAGGGCCCTGGTTTGGTTCCTAGCACCAATGTGGCTCCTAATTCTAACTCCAATTCCAGATCTCCCTTTTCAGCAGGCACCAGGCTAGCGCGCACTCGTGTACGTGCACGTGTGCGCGCGCACGCACACACACACACACACACACACAGGCAGGCAAAGTACTCATATACATAAGAAAATAAATCTAAAAGAAAAAAAAACAGAGTTGGGGATTTAGCTCAGTGGTAGAGCAATTGCCTAGCAAGTGCAAGGCCCTGGGTTCAGTCCTCAGCTCAAAAAAAAAAAAAAAAGAAAGAAAGAAAGAAAAAAAAAAAAGATGGAACAATGCCAGCAGGGGTGCTGTGTCTATGTTTTGGCTGTAACAGGAGGTGAAGTGCTTTCACGAGGGAAAAACAGGAAGGGGCAGGTAGCCCTGACAACTTCCTGGGTTTCCTCTTCTGAGGTTTTCACCGCCTCGAATTAGCTATTACCAGATTAGTGATAGAAGACCTATCAAGGAGTACACCAGCAACAGCAGTCTTAAAGATTGTTCTCATACAAGATTTATTCCCCAGCACCCCCCCATCCCACCCCCAATTCACAGTGGAGGATTCGGGAGATTCAGAGCAGGATCCCACGGGCACAAGAAAGACCTGGATTTTGCTCTCCTTCCTTCCCTCTTCCTCTTGCCAACTCCCCGGGCATGAAGCTACACACATTCATGCAACACGAGAAATCCCACTCCTTTCCCTCACCTCCCATGTCTGGCTGTCCACATGGAGCTCACCTGTAGGACATCTGGCTCTAAGGGAAGAGATATCCAGAGCATTTGAGAACCCGAAAATGGGAAGATGCCATTGCCCCTAACTCTCACTTTCAATGACTAGGAACAGGCACCTAGCCGTTCCCCTTCTCACTGTTAAGTATTTTCACTCCCTGGCCTCTGTACCTTGTCCATCAACCAAGAGCAAACGTGTTAGCACAACCCCCAACCTGCAGCACATGAAAATGGGCTCTGTTCAACGTCCCTCACCCAAATATGGGGGTGCTGGGGGAGTGGTCCCTGAGGATCAGAAAGGGTTAATGCAAGAGGGAAAGAGGGTGGAGAATTTGGCTTGAGCTCTGATTTGGGAGACAGAGAGGCAGTAGGCTGGCAAAGTTAGAACCAGTGATCATTTAGGGGGTTTTGTTTCACATGATTTGACTAGGGCTGCAGAGCACACACCCTTCAGAGGGGTCTCTGCTTGTCACCAACATATCCTTACGATCTGGGCTCATCCTTAGAGGGGTTAGGAAGCAGTATGTAAGAAGAGCTGGTGCAGGAACAGCTGGTGCTCCGGGATGAGGGCCACGGCCATTTGTAAAGTGCTACTTTGCCACGCCCTGTGGAATATTGCTTCTCCAGAGGAGGAGCAGGGAAGGAACAGGAACATAAAAATGGACATGATATTGCTTTGCTCACTGCTCAGATGGATGGTCAAATGGAGCCAGGGGTTAACAGCACCAAAGACAACCACACAGCTCCAAAAGATTCCATGAGACCTCAAGACAGAGAGGCACTCACCAACCCTACCAGCCATCTGATCCTACAGCTCAAGGTGACCTCACGTTCACATTTCTTAAATTCTGCAAGCACTCTGCAGTGCTGAGGGTCAGCCATCGAGAAAGGAAGATGGGCTCAGGGACAGGAAGTGGGCCTGCTCTGCAGAACCAAAGCACAAACTTGCTTTGAGAACACAAATCAAATCACGGTAAAAGACAAAAGGACAACTCTTGTCGCTGCTGCCTGACTGCTGTGGCTCCCATGAGGTGAGGAGAAAAGATGGGCTCCTGTAGTAGTGAGCACCCGAGCACCCAGACCTAAAGCAAACAGCACTACCGCCCCGATACTGACTCCGCAAGGGGAATCAATCTCTCCTCGGTTGCCCGTGTGTAGTGCCACCCTAATGGAGCGAAGTCTCCCTTGAGGGAGCGAGCGTCCTCACGTCAGTGACTAAGCACAGAAATGGTGTCTAGCTGGCAGCAAGGTAATGAGTATGTTCTCTCTGCAGGCCGCTGCACCAGCCAGGCCACCCAATACACAAATAAAATTCAGGGGACAAGAATGGGTTCTTCCCTTGCCCCGTCACAGTAAGTGGGGTGGGGAGAAAAAAACCCTACATCACAGTGACCCCCTCAAAGGAGTCTCTCCTCAGTGGCTCCTGGAACTGGCAGGGTCTAGCTGATTCAGCTCTGATTGGTCCAGAAGTTCAAAATCATCTCCCTCAGCATCAGTGTCCAGGTCTGAACTAGGGGCCCGGAGGAGACCTCTTGTTGCTCTTCGGGGAGGTGGGCCAGAAGGGTCTGTCTGGGAGGCCCCTGACAAGGCCAGCTGGATCATGCCCTGGGAGACTAGGCTGGCAAGGTTGCTGGTGAGGTTAGAGCCTCCAGGAAGGGACCCTAGCAGGAGCTCTGGCAGTGCAGCCTCTTCCCGACGAGCAGGCAGGACCTGGCTCTCCCCAGGCCCTGGTGGGGGGCGGTACATCACGCTGGGCATCCCAATGCTGGTGTCGTCGTCCTCATCCAGGCCAGCAGGATCCACATTAATGGAAGGGAAATCTGGAAGGTCTCTGGCAAATGATTCCTCTGGATCACTGTGACCGTCTAGATCTGAGAGAACAAGGGTATGTGAAACATGGTAGCTACTCGTGCCCCAGACCCACAAAAAGTCAACCCCTACATAACCAGGTTTCCCTACCCTGTACCTTTTTGTTTTGTTTTTTTCAAGACATGGTTTCTTTGTGTAGCCCTCGCTGTCCTGAAACTCACTCTGTAGACCAGGCTGGCCCCCAACTCTGCCTGCCTCTGCCTCCCCGAGTACTGGGAATAAAGGCGTGCACCACCACCACCCAGCATTAGTACTACTACTACTTCTTCTTCTTCTTCTTTTTTTTTTTTTTTTTTTGGAGACAGGGTTCCTCAGTGTAGTTTTGGTGCCTGTCCTGGACTAGCTCTGTAGACCAGGCTGGCCTTGAACTCACAGAGATCCGCCTGGCTCTGCCTCCCAGTGCTGGGATTAAAGGCATGTGCTACCACCATCTGGCCCACCCTCTATTTCTTAAGATAAAGCAAAACCTGTGGGACTGGTTAGCTTTTCTCATCACTCAGATGGCCATGACGACTAATTACCACAGAACTCTGTCTTCCTCTACTTGATACTAGAGGCAAAGACTAATTCGGGAATGGGGGCTTCAATAAAAGCAGCAGAATGTGGGGGTCATACCAGTGACTCTGCTACTTGAGCCACAACCCAGAAGAGGAAGGGGGAACAGTAAGCCCCCTGGTCCAAGGAAGCTACAATGCCAAAGTCCGAGTTAGTATCAACTCAGGTCAAAGGTTCTCACCTTCAGAGCCTTCTGTTAGAGGTGTCTGGCCTCTTGACAGGTTAAATGTGCCATTGTCTGTACAGGAGACCTCAGCGTCAGAGTGCTCCGAATCTGTGATAGCCAATTCCCTGGCCACGGTAGAATCATCCAGCTTACAAAAAGAAACCACCAACAAGTCTGAGATGATGCCATCAGCGATCCGCTTTACTAATGCACACCCCAGAAGATACCCAAGCCCCAGTGAAACCAAGCAGACGGGAGCTGCACCCACACCCTGGCTCCTGTTAGGCTGCTTCCCTAAAGGGAACATTCTTTCTCATCAACCTTTTGAGCTCAGGCACTCTTAGGTAACCACAAAAAGAGACTTATTAACCAAACCTCTAGGCATACTGGCTACATAAAGATTTATGTCAGCTCCAGGTTTTTCCATGATGGTAAAGTAAAAGGACACCCAAGTAAACGTGCTGTTCACCAGACTCAAACTGAGTTCTAGGGCCCACTCAACTCCGGGTTCTCTCCTCAGCACTGCTATTGAGGGTAAGGGGAATCTAGGGTCTTTAAGGGTCCTTGATGGGCTTAAAACCTGGTTACCATCTAAATGTGAGCTGCCAGGTGGAGAAAGAAGAATTAGAAAGCAGGCCAGTGGAGCAGCTTCCATACGAAGATACCTGGGGACAGAAGGCAGCAAGCTCCTCTTCACTGTCGCTGTGGTTGTCCAGGGCACGTTCTGGGTGTAGAGCTCTGCGGCACACTATGTGCAAAGAGCAGAAGACCTTGACGCTTTCAAGGGAAAATCTCCCCTTGGACTCCAAAAACATCACAACACAAGAAGAGACCCTCTAAATATGGCCCTAAGTCTACATAGC